CTCCAGATTCCGTCTCCGATTGTACTTTTGGTCTGTCTTTCTTTCACTGCCCTCCGGGTTCCAATGTAAAGACGTTCTTCTTATTCAACATTCCGAGCTCTTGAGGTTGACTGCTGCAGATATCTCTCTGGTTGGCCTTCTCTTTCCAGTTGGTGGCACCGTCTGTTTGCAGGTCTGTCTGGACATTATCTCTCTCTATCGTCTGCTTGGTCTGCCTCATTTTCAACGACCATTCAGCTCTCTTGTGTATAGAGTTTTTACCTCTCTGTCATCTGATAATCTCTTAATGTGCCTCAGCCATTTCAGTCTATTAGCTTTCATGATGCCAGTGATCAATGGTGTATTAAACAGATTATAAAATGCATTGTTGCTTCTCACTCTCTAATCCCCGCTGTTTGCATCTTTGATGGGTCTAAAGATTCATTATAAGATTCTGTTTTGAAAATGTATAGTAAGGCTTAATCTCCTTTAGTTCTGCTCCACGTTTTAAAACCATATAAAAAGACTAGTCTTATCACCGTTAGGTATATTTTGATCTTGATGTAGCGAGATAGAGACTTTGCCTTTAGCGTGTGTTGAATGTCGGACATAGTATACTTCATTTAAAGATTGTATTCTAAATTGTAAATGTAGTATTGCAGCGTGAATGAGCGCATTTTGGTATCGATATCTCCGGAAAGTTGCAGCAACCTCCCTCTTTGTCCTTTTTAAAAAATGACGATAGATCGGGCAGTTACTGATGTCACGAGCGATTTGTTTTTCCGGGAGATTGCCGACGTCACTACCGGTTAGTGACGTCATTTAGCGGTAGCTGACAGATCGATGTACGGGCAAGGGACACTCTTTTACCCTCATGGTGCTGTTATTCAAGGCGGAGTGGGTAAATTGATACCTCTTTACTCTATAGCAGTGGGACAATTATTGATTTTTGGTTGTTGCTGAAAAGTTTTGCATAATAGCGTTATATAAGGGCGTCATCATCATCAAGTGCCATGCTGACGGGGCAACCATCCTCTTCCCACCACATGCAGTCTCATAACCTCCTTTTGCTGCATTACAAAGCTGTCACTATATACACAACAAACAATACCCCTTTCTTTAGTCTAATAATAAGGGACCCCAGGCAACCCGTTCTCTGTCTTATACACTGCTGGCATAAACCTGAGGACACATACTATAGGGGGACGCTAAAAAATCAACTACGACTGAAGCGCCGAAACCCCGAATCTTCATTGTCCGTATCTGACCGCATTTTATATTTTCCTATTTATACCACTCATCTCTGCTGACCAGTCAAAAAATAGGCAATAAGAAATGCCTCTGGGAGTATTAATATTTGACACACACACACACACACACACACTTTATTAAATATTTACAAAATATAACAACCTAGCTGTAAACATAACTGACATCTCCACTTCGACCACCCTATTCTGGGGGCAAAAAAAAAAAACAAACCCTTATTTAATATTACGACATATCGCAGTCTATCTGAAAATTCAGCTGACACTGCTTCGACCAACCTATTAAGGAATGTGAACACAGTACACCCGCTAAGAAAGCCTAATAATACCCGACACATAAAGAAACTATTGAATACTTACGACATATCTCAGCCTAGTTGTAATAACAGCTGATACCGCTTCGACCACCACACTGGATGGCAGAAAATTAAATGGGTAGATCAGTCGCCCTTATATAACACGATTCCGCAAATATTTGTCAGCAGCAACCAAAAATCAGTAATTTGCCCACTGCTATAGAATAAAGAGATATCGATTTACATCCTCCGCCTTAAAAAAGAGCACCATGTGTCTGCTCAGGATTGTGAAAGAGCACCCCCTCCCCCCCCACCCAAATATCGATCTGTCAGCAACCGCTAGATGATGTCATCAACCCTCGTGACGTCAGTAATTTTCCGGGGAAAAAAACCAACCCCTCGTGACGTCACAAACTGCCCACCGATCGTCGTTTTTTTAAAATAAGGATAAAGAGGGAGGTTGCTGCAACCTCCCGGAGAAATGGACACAAAAATGCGCTCATTCACGCTGCATTACTACTTGTAAAGACATTCTAGTTATATTATTTTCAGAGTGTCTTAACTCGTCTTTACCTCAGCTCTTGATTCAGAATGTCGAAATAAAGTGGGGGGGGGGGGGGGGGGGGGGAGGGGCATGGAGGTGCAAACGTAGCTAAGTTATACCACCTTTAAACAAAGTGTAGCTCACATCTCTCAAAGGATACCCAGTACTAGGTCGATGTTTGTGTAGACTAATCACTCGATGGCTGGTGTGGTGGACATCACGCCGGCCACGTTTACTTCCCAAACACTTCCTTGTGCCAGTTAAGCTGGACTCTCGTCGTCTTAAATGTGCCCGGCTGGATGCGAACCCAAGACCTTCATGCAGGCAGATGAGCGTCTAGCCACCCCCTTCCCCACCCATACGCTTCCTACTGGTTATATGTGGCCAGCCGTATCGTTATGCAGCATTACGCGGTTGATTGATGTCGTTATCAAATTAGTTGGTTTAGATTCTCAGTATTTCCTAAAACAACAAGTCCTGTCAAGGGTATCAATATTGTAACGTTCAATACCAATAATTAAAAATCGTCGTCGTTATCATTATCGTCATCACCAAATTTAAGTATTACTATTAACTCTTTCACTACAGAAGATTTTGTTTTAAATACTTAAGGACACAATAGTTAACACATCTAGCCAGATTTCTTTGAAATGCTTAAATCAAATGTAAAATGCACAATTATACACAGCTCACTGTTTGGTACATATTGATTTTACCTGATACACACTGTACGTTGATTGAGTCAGAAACAGTTAAGTGTTGTGGGCAGAAATTGTTTGTGGTCTAGCTTCCCAGAGTTGGAAGTTGTCATTGTCATCCTGTGTCCATCTAGAGTGGCTTCAGTGTCATTAGTCTCACTAGGCACTCTCTGGATCTCTCGTTAGATTGCGTTGGTGTTTTGTCTTTATGTGGGTAGCTGCTGTTGTTGATGTTTTCTTTCGAGATGACCAAACTATTAAATGTTCTGCTTCTCCGTGACTTTGGCCAAGGTTTTCTCCCACAGTATGTCTGATTATATTATGTCTCACGATGTTTGGGAAAGTAGAATGGCGACTTTGCTCAAGCACACAATCTCACAGTCACTTAATATCACTTAATAAAAATGCGACATATTAAAATCAACGGAAGGACATCATAACCTGTACAGTGTCAAACAGATATGCTTTGCTTCCGGTTTGGTGGTCACGTGTTCAAATCCTCATTTAAATAAGGATTTCTTGAAGTGAGTTTCCTGGTCGACCCAGTATAAATTGTTGCCCGGAAATATTTTCAGATGTAAAAAAAAGCGCTTTGGTAACATTACCCGGTGAGTGGCAGCTCGTCTACACTTGTATGCTAGCACCATATACACCTCTTTGGAAGACAAAGTGGGCCTTTACATTTGCTTACTCGAACACGTGAGACCTGTAACTTCAGAGACTTAAGTGAGGTACATGACAGGGGAGTACCTTCTCTGTTGGAAGTTAACGGAGAGCAGGAGACAAACCAACTGTTGTCACATAACTGAAACTATTGGACAGGCTAATCCATTGTGATGGCAATTCATTCATCCATTCATTTATGCATTGACTGAAAAAAATAAAAATAAAAAAGAGAATATAAAATAAAAGCGCATGAGCGAAAAAAACATTGATGCACTGGGAAAAAAAACACACAATCCTAGCTAGAAGATAATTCTCATTGGACGTTGAAGGAATCATTTAACGATAAATAGCAGACTGTTATATAGACTAACAAGTGCTGGCTTCTCCACTAGACTCTCTTCTAGAGCTAGCGAAAATAACGAAGTTGGGAAAACAAAAGCGGTTTGGCCCATCAGTTTCCATTTCTCAGACGGGTAATGCGATATTTGGTCGGTTACATTCGCACAAAAAGTAAAGCCAAGTGGTGCAGAAGAAAGCTGCGATTGGCCGTCTCGCTCATTTCCCACTGCTTGAATATCTCACCAATTTCCATAGAGTGCTAGATGTGCCATCTTTCTGAACCAAATCACTTTAAAATTGGCAAGCATTTCATCATCTAGGCTGTGTGAGATTTGTTTGAGAATAAAATCTACGGGAAATGGAAATGATTAAGAAATACAAATCTTGACCGAAAAACGTAGAACGAAAATTGACACGGAATGTTATTAAAGTATTTATTATATTAGTCTCCGCAGTGTTCAATCAATGTTCAAATTCATATATTACCAAATATTGTTACTTTCGATAAGGAGTAACTTGTAAACTGGTTGGGTCTGCAACAGGGAGTAAGCCGAGGGTACTGTCCTTTCTCCTCCTATTTCTAACCTTCTTTTACTTCTGTAGCGCTTCTTCTTTTTCTTCCTTCTTCTTCTTCTTCTTCTTCTTCTTCTTCTTCTTCTTCTTCTTCTTCTTCTTCTTCTTCTTCTTCTTCTTCTTCTTCTTCTTCTTCTTCTTCTTCTTCTTCTTCTTCTTCTTCTTCTTCTTCTTCTTCTTCTTCTTCTTCTTCTTCTTCTTCTTCTTCTTCTTTCTTCCTTCTTCTTTTTCCTTCTTCTTCTTCTTCTTCTTCTTCTTCTTCTTCTTCTTCTTCTTCTTCTTCTTCTTCTCTTCTTCTTCTTCTTCTCTTCTTCTTCTTCTTCTTCTTCTTTCTTCTTCTTCTTCTTCTTCTTCTTCTTCTTCTTCTTTCTTCTTCTTCTTCTTCTTCTTCTTCTTTTCTTCTTCTTCTTCTTCTTCTTCTTCTTCTTCTTCTTCTTCTTCTTCTTCTTCTTCTTCTTCTTCTTCTTCTTCTTCTTCTTCTTCTTCTTCTTCTTCATCATCATCATCATCATCATCATCATCTTCTTCTCCTTCTCTTCCTCCTTCACCCCTCCTCCTCCTCATGGGGATATGATATTTATCCCATTTTATTACCGGACATAATTCACGGTATTTCGTTTGGTCCACTCTAAATAATTTACATCAATATAAAGTATGACATAACATAAATTCTTTCCCCTGAATTACAACAATCGCACCGTTGCCACCAACAATTATTAGTTCGTGTGTTGACACCACACCATGCCATGACACCACTCCATGCCATGACACCACTCCATGCCATGACACCACTCCCTGACACCACTCCATGCCATGACACCACTCCATGCCATGACACCACTCCCTGACACCACTCCATGCCATGATACCACTCCATGCGATGACACCACTCCATGCCATGACACCACTCCCTGACACCACTCCATGCCATGACACCACTCCATGCGATGACACCACTCCATGCCATGACACCACTCCCTGACACCACTCCATGCCATGACACCAATCCATGCGATGACACCACTCCATTCGATGACACCACTCCATGCCATGACACCACTCCATGCGATGACACCACTCCTTGCCATGACACCACTCCATGCGATGACACCACTCCATTCGATGACACCACTCCATGCGATGACACCACTCCATGCGATGACACCACTCCATGCGATGACACCACTCCATGCCATGACACCACTCCCTGACACCACTCCATGCCATGACACCAATCCATGCGATGACACCACTCCATTCGATGACACCACTCCATGCCATGACACCACTCCATGCGATGACACCACTCCATGCCATGACACCACTCCATGCGATGACACCACTCCATTCGATGACACCACTCCATTCGATGACACCACTCCATGCGATGACACCACTCCATGCCATGACACCACTCCCTGACACCACTCCATGCCATGACACCAATCCATGCGATGACACCACTCCATTCGATGACACCACTCCATGCCATGACACCACTCCATGCGATGACACCACTCCATGCCATGACACCACTCCATGCCATGACACCACTACATGCCATGACACCACTCCATGCCATGACACCACTCCATGCCATGACACCACTCCATGCCATGACACCACTCCATGCGATGACACCACTCCATGCCATGACACCACTCCATGCGATGACACCACTCCATGCCATGACACCACTCTATGCGATGACACCACTCCATGCCATGACACCACTCCATGCCATGACACCACTCCATGCGATGACACCACTCCATGCCATGACACCACTCCATGCCATGACACCACTCCATGCGATGACACCACTCCATGCCATGACACCACTCCATGCCATGACACCACTCCATGCGATGACACCAATCCATGCCATGACACCACTCCATGCCATGACACCACTCCATGCCATGACACCACTCCATGCCATGACACCACTCCATGCGATGACACCACTCCATGCCATGACACCACTCCATGCGATGACACCACTCCATGCCATGACACCACTCCATGCGATGACACCATTCCATGCCATGACACCACTCCATGCCATGACACCACTCCATGCGATGACACCACTCCATGCCATGACACCACTCCATGCCATGACACCACTCCATGCGATGACACCATTCCATGCCATGACACCACTCCATGCCATGACACCACTCCATGCGATGACACCACTCCATGCCATGACACCACTCCATGCCATGACACCACTCCATGCGATGACACCACTCCATGCCATGACACCACTCCATGCCATGACACCACTCCATGCGATGACACCACTCCATGCCATGACACCACTCCATGCCATGACACCACTCCATGCCATGACACCACTCCATGCCATGACACCACTCCATGCCATGACACCACTCCATGCCATGACACCACTCCATGCGATGACACCATTCCATGCCATGACACCACTCCATGCCATGACACCATTCCATGCCATGACACCACTCCATGCCATGACACCACTCCATGCCATGACACCACTCCATGCGATGACACCATTCCATGCCATGACACCACTCCATGCCATGACACCATTCCATGCCATGACACCACTCCATGCCATGACACCATTCCATGCCATGACACCACTCCATGCCATGACACCATTCCATGCCATGACACCACCCTATGCCATGACAAAATGTTGTCAAGAATCGTCTCATATTGTTTTCCTCTGTCTCTTCTATCACAGATCGCAGCATGTTCTAGCTTGCTTCTTGTCAACACATAACCACCCCCCCCCCCCCCCCCCCAAAAAAAAAGAGACGACTGTTTATGTCTGATGTTTATGATATCTTGTCTTCGATACCATTCATTGTTTTTGTTTAAAGCATCTTGATTGGTTTTTTCGGATGTCTAAAGAATTTAACAATTCTTTAGTAAAACCTGATCTGCAGGCTTTAAAAAATTGTTCAGGTTTTTAAAGTGGTCAGTGGTTCTACAACTTTAACTGGCCTGTGTAAAATTTGAAATAACACAGTAGTTACAATGAAATAAAAAAGAAAATTATAAAGGTAATTAAAATGTGCATAATTTACCTAGTGTTTAAGAAGCTGCTGTGCTTTACCAATGTGTTTTACAATCTGGATCTTTGTATTCTCCTGGCGGTGAGAATTCTTTCTGAAATAGTTCAACTGCTCTGTTACATTAATTAGTAATGTTTTTTTTATGACAGTCTCACATTGCTTGTATCTGCTTTTGATGTCTTCAGTATACCTGTGTTTGCGTAATCGATTTGTACCCCGACAGTCCATGATATTTTTGTTAAATCATCTGCTTTTCTCTGCATGACATTGCATTTCTTACATCATCATCATCATCTCATCATCGTCATTGTCATCATCAACATAGTCCTCATCAAGTAGCAGGTCCTTTGCAGAACATTGCTCTCATCACAACCTGCATGAAAGAAACTCAGTCTCTCGGCAGATCTCTAGTCTGGTGAACCCTCCTACCCAAAGTCTCTCGGCAGATCTCTAGTCTGGTGAACCCTCCTTCCCAAAGTCTCTCGGCAGATCTCTCGTCTGGTGAACCCTCCTTCCCAAAGTCTCTCGCCAGATCTCTAGTCTGGTGAACCCTCCTTCCCAAAGTCTCTCGGCAGATCTCTAGTCTGGTGAACCCTCCTACTTAAAGTCTCTCGCCAGATCTCTAGTCTGGTGAACCCTCCTACTTAAAGTCTCTCGCCAGATCTCTAGTCTGGTGAACCCTCCTACTTAAAGTCTCTCGCCAGATCTCTAGTCTGGTGAACCCTCCTACTTAAAGTCTCTCGCCAGATCTCTAGTCTGGTGAACCCTCCTACTTAAAGTCTCTCGCCAGATCTCTAGTCTGGTGAACCCTCCTACCCAAAGTCTCTCGGCAGATCTCTAGTCTGGTGAACCCTCCTACCCAAAGTCTCTCGCCAGATCTCTAGTCTGGTGAACCCTCCTACACAAAGTCTCTCGCCAGATCTCTAGTCTGGTGAACCCTCCTTCCCAAAGTCTCTCGGCAGATCTCTAGTCTGGTGAACCCTCCTACTCAAAGTCTCTCGGCAGATCTCTCGTCTGGTGAACCCTCCTACCCAAAGTCTCTCGCCAGATCTCTAGTCTAGTGAACCCTCCTACCCAAAGTCTCTCGCCAGATCTCTAGTCTGGTGAACCCTTCTACCCAAAGTCTCTCGCCAGATCTCTAGTCTGGTGAACCCTCCTACTCAAAGTCTCTCGGCAGATCTCTCGTCTGGTGAACCCTCCTACCCAAAGTCTCTCGGCAGATCTCTAGTCTGGTGAACCCTCCTACCCAAAGTCTCTCGGCAGATCTCTAGTCTGGTGAACTCTCCTACCCAAAGTCTCTCGGCAGATCTCTAGTCTGGTGAACCCTCCTACTTAAAGTCTCTCGGCAGATCTCTAGTCTGGTGAACCCTCCTACTCAAAGTCTCTCGGCAGATCTCTAGTCTGGTGAACCCTCCTACTCAAAGTCTCTCGGCAGATCTCTAGTCTGGTGAACCCTCCTACCCAAAGTCTCTCGGCAGATCTCTAGTCTGGTGAACCCTCCTTCCCAAAGTCTCTCGGCAGATCTCTAGTCTGGTGAACCCTCCTTCCCAAAGTCTCTCGGCAGATCTCTAGTCTGGTGAACCCTCCTTCCCAAAGTCTCTCAGCAGATCTCTAGTCTGGTGAACCCTCCTTCCCAAAGTCTCTCGGCAGATCTCTAGTCTGGTGAACCCTCCTTCCCAAAGTCTCTCGGCAGATCTCTAGTCTGGTGAACCCTCCTTCCCAAAGTCTCTCGGCAGATCTCTAGTCTGGTGAACCCTCCTACCCAAAGTATCAATTATTTCCTGTGCCTCTCATCGTGCTGGTCGGCCCCTGCCCCTCTTTCCTGACACAACGCCTTCTTCTACAATTCTTTCCTAACCACAGTGGTGCTAGATATAACCAAAATATGTCAGCTTCTGAGACAAGATGCTGTTTACGAGCCAGTCTTCGGTAATATTCAGATCTATTAGAATGTCAGTATTTCTGCTTTTCTTGGTTCATTGTATTCTGAAAATCCGTTTATAACATTTCCTCTGAAAAGCTGCATGTTCTCCCTTAATGACCGCGAGGTAGCCTACAACTCACATCTGCAAATTTCTACAGGGAAGATGCAAGCTTCTACGTTTTGACCTTAATTTTCTTGCTACTGCTTAGCCATATACTTGTAATATGGCATCATATTTGCATTGCTATGGTCATCCTCTTTTTGATTTCTGTTGAAGTCTTCATTACCGTTTTTTTGGTGGCGCCTAGATATTCAAAGTTTGTGACATGTTCCATTTCTTCCACATTTATTATTGTCACCAAATAGAGCAACACATGTTTAAAATCTAGATCCCAGGTTATGCGTTCTTCCAGTCGACGCATGTATTTCCTACGTAGGTAACATAAACATGTGAGTCTCGGAAAGAAATGAGCACGTGCAACATTCTATACAAGCAAAATACACAATTTCGCCAGTTAACCTGTCTTCTTTATCTTTTCAAAGTAAACACAATTAATTTATCCCGGACAGTATAAAAGAATATTTGCTGACGTCATTTGGGAAATTGCATTTCCAACCGCCAAATGTCTGCGAAGCTTCTTTGTGGTCTGAGTTCTGCCAGTGGGAATAAATATATCTCCTTCCACATTCATCTATGGACCTCTTGTACAGTCATGGATGTCTACACAGCGCCTTATTGCGTCATAGATCATTCTGTCACCTGGTTAATTTCCCGAATCAGTTACTGGTAGCTACGGGAATTGATCTTTTATTGAATTTTAGGCCACAGGTTCAAGTTGCAGCGCTAGGACGTTTGCCTGCCAGCTCACTGGGTTTTTGGTTCGAATTACTAAGAAGAAAGGGTCTCCGTGGCGCAGTGGATAGCCTCCCTGTCTGAAGGTGGTGAGCAATGCTTCGCATTTCCTGATTGTACTGGCGACGAGTAAAGGTATTTGATGAGGCATGGGTACTGTTACAAAAGCTACGGGTGAAGGGCCTCACGAAGGGAGACCAAAGGGCCTCACGAATGGAGACTGAACCTCCACAACAATAAAACCATGGTTCATAGACGTCGAGCTGTTAACCTTTCAAACAGCTTTTAAATGTCACTTTAAAAAAAGCAACTCAGGTGTTCTGGAAGAGACAAAGATACGAAGACAATGAGTTATGAAAAGCCAAAAAAGAGTGTCTTCATTTGTTGGTTGTATTGTGAAAAGATGGACA